ATCTGTGTCAATAGAAAGTACTATAAAATAATATACTTGTTAATTGTTAAGTATACATAATCATGAATTAATTATACCTCAACGTATTAAAAGTGTTATAACTCAGACACCGTGAAATAATTGAAGTCGAAGATCATTGACATTGTGGGCAGTGTCAAGTGTGAAGGGGTTTTTATTTAGGTACCTATCTACCAACCAATATTTACTTACGTACCTATCAAATAGGATAGGACCCTACACGACAGTCCCTCTTGGTTGCATGATTTTTTATATCAATTGTATTAATTCCTGTCGATGTAAGCGCTTGAACGCGCTACTAAACTAACTAACAAACTCTTCAGGTTTATATATTACGAAGTGTCTTTAGAATTTATCTATTCAAGTACTTAATCTGATTATTTATTACTTAGCTATTTTTATTTATATAGGTACTATTGTAAGACGCAATATTCGACATCATATCTTGCTGCTAGGAGGTGATTGGTACCTAATGGTTTGAACAGATAATCATTTTCGGCGAGTCACTATTTTGAATAAAAATATACTTATCTGCGTAAATCAAGTTTTTAAAAGGAAGGTGTCGATCAAAGGTTGTAATTATAAAATATTTAGGTATCACAGGCCTTTCTTTAAGAGACAAGAAAACAAATACATATTTCTTTCGTTTCATCATTATCTACTATGTCTGTGCTCTGTCTATGATACCGAAATGTCATATATGCTTAAGGTATTTATGCTCGTTATCAAAAACAAATAATACAGTTTAAATTTATCCTTAGCTGCGTAGGCTTTATTGGAGTCACAGTCAGAACAAACTTATCTAGAAATTTGTAGTTGCTACAGCCAAGCTGCCTAAAAACCATGCACCTTCTTTTATCGCACTAAATGAGCGTTTTAAATCCAAATACAATATTATAATTAGGTTTGCACCTGATTGTATGTTTAAAGGTAAATTGTTGTAGGTATGTAGACTTAGAGCCAGTCCTCTGAGAGAAAAAAAATTAGCGAGGATTCATTTTCCCACCACGTTGCGTCAAATTCGCATGAAATCACAGAATTGTTTTCGGGCTCATTTTTGTCGTAGGCATAAGCAGATAATTCAATTTTTTACAGACCTTGCAAAAATTTAGAAATAAAGCAATGCGAATTCAAATACCTAATTTCGCCGTGCGGCCATGGCACTTTTCTTTTTTATACGACAGCCCAAAAAAGGAGTTTTATTATTTTTCAAATTGTCATTTAAAGTCCTTTGAATTTTTATTGTATGTACTAGGTAGTAAGTAGATACTACATACAGTCACCTTGCTTTCAAGGTATTTTCCTTAAATCCAAAATAAAGTACACATTATCTAACAAGTAAGTTAAGATTCATATAAAGTACGATTAAGCAAGAAAAAATACCGTATCAACATGTAATAAAAGGCATCTACTATTTTTGTTCTCCAACCCGGTATGAGATTATGAACAACACTAAAGCTCTTTCAGCACTGAAACTAAAAAAAAACTGTTTTTATCGTATTGTTATTATAATGTATTTATCCTGAAAAAGTATACAAATAACTTCTATGTTACTCATAATGACACAACAAAATTTAAGAGTGACAGGAAAACCAATAGGCGTTAAATATATGCCTATAAAATAGAGTACAAATAATTATTGTATTGATGATCATCATGACCAAGGAATTTATAATACTTTTCGAGAGATTGCTTGTAAGTTCGTGACTTTGGTATGACGATCAATGTATTTTAATGATTAGAATAGGTACGTCATACCGTCGATAAGCTGTCGTAAACGAATTTTTAATACTCACAGTGTTTTAAGTTCGCAAGTCATGTAATCAAATTACTTATTTACTTAAATATCAGAGGACAACAATAGAATATATACAAATTAGTAATAATGATTGTATGGTTCAAACACATAATACTTAGGTATCTAATAGAAAAATACAAACACACGTTGTTTAATGCCACTCTTGAAACTTACAAAAATTGTTATCTCAACTACCTATCTATTTACTGTCTCAAAATTGCTGTCATTATAATAAATCCATTCGACGGAGAAAAATAGCTTATTTCGCAATGACGTATTACATATAGACACGTCATGAACCAACATCGCGGCGCTTAAAAACGGCGAAAATACTAGATAACTACTTCTATGAGTAAAGAAAGGGAAAGAAAATATGACATCGTATAGTGGAATGCCTTTGCTAGAGGGAGATAAATATACATCTTCAGTTATGCCGACGGCACGTGACTATACTTTCATGCGCCGGCCGCCAGAAGATGGCGGGCGCCGGCGTCGAAAAAAATAAAATAAAAATAGGTTGTTTGGTGAACTTACGCATGAAATGACACATTTTTGTCTTTAACTTTTGGAGTATAATTTGTACATCGTCTGAACACACACGACGGTATGCTTTCTTTATGTTTCGCACAGGTTTACACACACGACATAAATTAAAAACAAACGTAGCGTCGCGCGGCAGGTTGGTGCGTAACTAAGCGCGATGTGGTCAATTGCCTTCATTTCATGTTGTCATTTTAGAGCGCGGACAACGTATCTATAGTTTTATACATCATTGTTATTTCGCATATATGTACGAGTACTAACATTTAAAATTCCTTTAATGTAGGTAGTTTACCTTAGACAAATAGAGTGAAAAAAAACAATTCGAAATCATCACAACATTAGCCAAATATTATAATGACTTAATTACTTTGGTATTTGAAATTCCTTACCTTAATACAAAAGTAGGAACAGAAAAATACGTCGTCGGTGTAAAAAATGTTTTTCATAATGGAAAAACAGGAACTGTCATGCGTCACAGGGCCAGTGACCATAATCTAAAGAATTTTAAAAATAGAACACTGTTCCCTAAGCTATCTCACAATCATAACACACCTCTAAACCACGGTAATATAGTATTCAAACTTTTTTAAATACAAATGCATGTCATGCAGCATTCTTACGAATTGTAAAAATTACAAGTTTTTTGTTAAATTAATTAGTTACTGTTATGTGTTCTGGATGGCAGATGGCGTTTTTTTTATTTCAAATAGGTAGTATCTATACAACTTAGATCTTAAGTTGACCTTGTTCAATGTAAGCAAGATTATCACAATTATGTGATTAGATTGTTTATTTTAAATAGGCAATTCATAAAAAGTTATCCAAGGTTGAGAAGCAGGTAAATAGTAGTAGGTAATAGATAGGAAACGTGTTTTAAAATGATGTGTATTGAAATATTTTACGATTACTTACAAATAAAGTAAAATACTTACTAAAGATTTTTTGATGATTATTTAGGTACTCAATATTAACTGTATTGAAACTGCTTTAAAATTTCTTGAAAAAAAAAAGCTTAGAATTTCCCCCATAAAATATTACAGGTGAGAAAAAGGTTTAGGTACTGTCAAATAAGAACATTGAAAATTTTACATGTGGTTAAAAAAAACGGGATTCCTTTTTCCTACAAAGGTATAGGTACTAAACGAGCCTGTGGAACGTCGGATACGGTTGGGTAGGTTGCATCAGCCTTCTGGCTCTAACGAACGGAAGGTCGCACCAGACGGTGACCGACCCGATGGCACGAGTGGTGCGTACCTATAGTTACTAAGATCCGGCACTTAGGATTCGAGGTGGCACTCTACAAGTACGAGACCATGTGTTTTCATGGCCGTCGGAATGCGCGACCTCCGGGTAGGTCCAAATCACAGCAGGAGGGGTTACCATCAGCATCAAATCGAATGTCTTGTCCTGAACAGCCTCTAGTTTGACTCCCAAGTTGAAATGGACAAGACCTTCCGCTGCCTCACCAGATCAGTGCGTGACGGGATAAGCTCCAGCGCGATCTTATGGCAGATGGCAGAGTGACCGCATGTACATTTTTCAAGCTTCTTTTGAGTTTTGAAAGAGCCAGAAAATTTTACCCTGTTCAGTTTTGTCACGTCACACACTAATCTCTGCTAAATGCATTTTTTGTATCAACTGAAGCGTATCTAGATACCTACTTTAAGGATGTTTAATAATGTAAGCATCTACCGTCATTCAAGTTACTGTTGAGGTCGATTTAGAACATTTCGATGGTCAAAAACTGGCATAACCCGTATGTCAAGAAGATGTCTATAGGTGATTACGTATCAAGCAACAAAAACAGTTTTTTATTACCAACTAATGCTGGTCGTCGAGACGACTAAATTCATCAAAACCCAAGCGAACGCTGGCTTTCGCGCACCTATTGTTGTTCTATTGTCTTTCGAATTACCACGATTGAAAGGTTGATAGTTTACAACTATACGAATCAACTTAATTACTTAGTTTTTTAGTAGAAAATTATCTTTTACAATAAGTAGTCGGTAAGAAAATTGGACACGATATTGTGACTTTTTGTCCGAAGGCCGAAATTTTTATAATTTACGGAAGTTTTCAGACATTAATGTGAAGGAAACTGTATTTTTACATACTGTACGGTTTTGTCCTTTATACATGCATAATTAATTAATTTGTTGCATAAACAGTTTAAAAGAATTAACTACTACTAATAGGTGACATTTGTCAAGTCATATTAGTAAACTTTACATTTCTATTGCTCTATTGTCTTCAATATTAAGATGCCAAATCATCATCATCAGAATAGCGAAAAATGATTGTGAATATGGCAGAAAATCTACAAATTCGTAAGTACCAAACTAAGTAAGTTGTAGTACTTACCTAAAAACAATAAAACGCTATGGATTTTTTTAGTTTTACTGGCATGTACTTATGTAAACGTACAATGATAGTTTAATATTAATTAAAATATTTAGAACTTATGTTACCTAAATATTTAAATTTTTTTATGGGTTGCGCTGTTGCGCTAGTAAAATGAGCTACCTAAGCGAAGCAATAAAATTGAAAAACTGGTACACGGTGCACTACCTACTTAATGCACTTTTAGATAAGTGTTCACCTAAGCATTATTTTGAATTGCTAAACAAATGTGCCACTGATGCAACAGCAAGCCTGCTCGGTCGCCGACTCGTGCCACTTCACATTTGTGTCCACGTCACCGCAGACGACCGTGGTGCACTCGGCACGGCCAGCGTAATATATTAATTTCAACATTTTGTACCATTACGTTTCATTCGTAAACCTTGATAACGTAGGTGAAGTAAAGCAAAGTAAACGCTTCCAACGGGCACGTGGAGTGACGCTGCGCGCCGGTGCAAGGCATCTATAGTCTCGTTTGCAACGCTCAAGCCCACGTACACGCACTCTTCGGTTATTTTCGGTTACGTTCGCTTGAGCTAACGCGTACACCGATCGAGTCGGCTATCGTTCTCATTCACTCGCTACGTATAGTTCCATCACATTACCAACTAGAAACCAACCATCACGTCACTTTAGTGTCAGTGCAGTGTACAAAGTGTCGTGAGGCGAGCTGTCGCCGGATGTGCCGGTTGTAAAGTCCTCTGGAAAAATAAAGTCTGACAAGTGACCTTGATTCTAAGTGACTAGATATTACTCTGTAATATAACGATACGAAACATAACCTAAAAAATGTCAGACAGCGCACAGGACGTTCTTAAGGATGCGGTAACCGGCGCCGCTGCTGCTGCTGCCGATGCCGCTGATGGATCGCTATTTAGTACCTTTGATATAATTGTGCTCGTTATCTTATTGGGCGGTACCATTTGGTGGCTATACAACTCCAAAAAGGAAAACAAGAAAGATGAAATTCTGCTGAGTAAATATTCCATCCAGTAAGTATTATTATCTATGTACTTACCTGTAAGAAATATTTTTTATTTTTTAAATAGGTCCCAACCTATACTTCTGCCTTTATAAAATTAATTCCAATAATATTATACTTGACAATGACGGCCAATTAAATAGTTGTTCTTGTTATTTCATTGCAATTACGCATTACACTTGCCTGCTGTTATTACCATCATGATTGTCTTCAATAAACCTGACATTTGTAAAGTAAAATTACGTAGATATTATGTACAAAGCGTGACTTTCGTTTTATTGCGCTCTAATTAAAATTCATAACAGTGATTTGAAAACGTATAGTTACTCCGTAGGTACATTATAAAATTGTATTCCATTCCAAACGACAATGACGGACTAAGGTGGATTTCCAAATTTTCGAATTAAAATTTGTGCAACTTGCAAAGCATTGACAAAGAGTATGTAACCACTACGTTTAAGAGACGGGACTCCCATACAAGCCAGTGGAATCAATTTACACGGCACTCTAATACCTACATTGCAATAAATAAAAGATGTCAGCCGTCAAAATCAATAGTACCAACCTAAAAGACCAAATAGTTCTGTGGTAGCTGTATACTAGGTTTAGTATCGATATCGATAATATTTATAGGGTAGAAATCGAGGTCATATTACTTTTTTAATTTTTAGTTTCGATCTTTAAGATTAAGTTCGGATTTGAAATAAAACATTGTGTTATATTAAAAACTAAAAAATATATTTTTGTAATAATATTCAAATTCATGTTATATACGGACGGTGTGTTAAGGACCTAACTAAAATTATTTAAATTAAGTGGACTCTAATACTTAATACATATATTGGTTCAGTAAATTGGTTCTATGGGCACATTCACTAAATCTTCTTTGCCAACAACTTTCACCCACTGCCGGCACCTGAAAAATGGAAAAAATCAAAATGGACAGTCCCTGACATGAATAACTCTAAATTGTTTAAACAGCTGGCGTTCCTTACATAATAAATGAATAAATTTTACGAATACAGTATACATACATTTTTATCTACGTTTAATCATTAATTTCTTAAAATCTACTGGGTTAGTCGTGTCACAACTTTGTTCAACAACATTTATTAACATCATTACTTCTTTGGTTTGGTCTGGAAAGTAAATCACGAAAGAATAATTAAATCAAGGGATCTTTGGAGTTTAGCCCACACATAAGTCTGTGACTATCGATACTTGAGGTACATCACTAGTACACAATAAGTACATGAAAATCAATCTACATGTATTTGTAGCCTTTTATACTTAGAATTAAATAAAATTATATCATTTAATGCTTACCGGTCCTCATCCAAAGGAAATTTCGCTATAAACATCCTTTTCTCGCCATTTTTACGACCGGATCGTCCTCCGCAGATTTCACAAGTTAGAAACCGTTTTTTTGGTGGCATTTTACTTGAACACGTAACTAGTCACAGCCGTATCACTAACCACTAATTAACTAAACAAATTATACGTAAATTTATGAAATTATGAAAATAACAACATAAACTTACAAAAGCAACGACATTCAAAGTTCAAAACTTCAATTAAAATGGCCGACGGATTAGTGAAAGAAAGAGAACTGTACTGAGGGAGTGGGATGACAATATCCGGCTACTTCCGTGTGCCATTATTTGCCGTGCCAAGCCCATACATTTTTATTTTTCTTCTAAGTTGCGCTAGGCTGAGCATTGATGCGCACGTCGAACACTAACATAACACTAACGTAACATGGAGCCAAAGCCATAAGTGAAGTGACTACTTGACTAGTGACGCGAGACGTCATTGGAAAAAACATCCGAGTCTTTTTTTCTTTTCTCAACAGGATAATAGGTCCTTTAGGAAGGGGAATGAATGACGCAGATATATGTAGTACAATTACAATCTGGTTTTAAAACCATTCATTGCGAGGTTCGTAATGTAACACTGGACTGCTGGTTATATAAATATAATAAATATATCTCATTACTAACAAAATATAACTGAAGCATAAATAAAATAAACTAAAGTAAATTCAAAATGAAATTGGCTTTATCTATTTAATCAAAGTGATAAAAATTATAACAACAATAGTCAAGTTAAATAAAATTAATAATTAAGATATATATTTGCAGTGGCAATACTTCCACCAAACCAGTTAGTATTAGTGTGTAAAGTGATTAATTTAATCACCAAAATTACAGAACATTTACAACTTGTAACTAAGTAATATGTCCACAGTAAATTAAACATTGTGTCGCCTTGGAATCTGGAATCAGCCTTGTTGATATGATAAATTATTGATTAGGCGGAAATAACATTTTGGTGATGAATATATACGCAAGTAGCGATTTTAAAATATTTGATTAAATAAGCACATGACGATGATAATGAAAATATCGAATACATCCTGTTGAAATGTAAGCCACTTAGTTACACACTGCGATAAGTGGTTAATTTCAAACTTCTCAGATTGTGAGCCACTTGTGGTGTGGCTGTGGACAACAAATGCTCTGTGGCTTTCTCTAGATTGGGGATTATTTCTTTGGTTATGGTACCTATTGGGTAAGCAGGATTAACCTTCTGAAACAATTGCTAATAAAACTTATGGCGGCAGTAGTCATTGACCTTAAACACTTTCGTCATTCTCGCTGTAGCTGTTTTCACCTTTCAACACAGCAATAATAATTTATTTATCATTCGTCGTGACGTGAGGTCTTCATCAAACTGAAGCATTAACTACACTACACAATTGATATTCTAGTTACATTTGGCGACGTAAGGTCAGGGTCAGCAATTATGTCAGTGGATGGTGTTTGAACAATAAGCCAGTGTAGCGGGTTGCCAAACTTAAATCCAAATTTATTTTGAAACATTTTCTACTGATTTTAAATTTATTAACTTATATCGTAGGTATTTCAAATTTTATTTATTGTATATATTAAGTACGTATTTTTAATGTTTGTACACGAATCCTGTTCAGGCCAGATTGACGCTTGCTCAAATACACACAGACAATTTTTTTTATAATTATTTAGTTAATATTTTAATCGATTTACTAAAATTTAATAGAAGTTGGGTAAAATCAGTCAGAATACGTGCAATATATACACGTAACAAAACAGTATATACACGTTAAAATATATAATGTATAAGCAAAACGATCCAAGTTATATAGGAGTTTTGTAAAATTCTTACGTACGTCTTAACAATGAATTAAATAAACCTTGTTTGTTTTCGAGGAGTGTACATTAAATAAAACTATTTTATTAGGTACATTATTATATAAAGACTTACTTACCTACATAATTTTTCGACGAACTTTACATCGATAATTAGTCAATATTTTAAACAAAGTGGCATACTGGCTGATATTTTCGCCGTTGACGATAAAATGTATGACCTTCTTTTGTTTGATACTTAATTATGCAGGACAATAAATTATTGTTTTAGTACGATTGCGTATTGCACGGGTCGAATGCTCAGTAAATACATTATTTGTAGTATGCAAACGCGTGATTGCAGCTATTTTACTTTTAAATAAAATGTAGGAAATCGTTAATAGCAATACCACAGTGTATAAAGGTGCCTATTATGGCAGTTTAAATATCCAGGACCGGTTATAATTTACGCAATACGTAATACATAAGTTAGCTGTAGGTTTGTTGAATAAAAAAATTAAGCGCTGTCTTTTATAAAACCTACACTTTTTTTACAACTGGCTACAAACTCTTCCAATTTGTCGCTTTCTAAATAATATTATAAGTAAAATGGTTTATAGGTATATATTATTGAAATTTTTCAATTTTTGGTATCACCTGTTGTTGTACTAGGTACTTACCAAATTAGTTGTCTGGTGAGAAAAATGACGTTTAACGAAAAAGGAAGCATAACGATAGTTAATAGATAAGTAGGTAGTTATTTCAAAACTTTATAGAAAACAATGGATTATAAATCAATATTCATTAATGATTAAAATACTCAAATGCTTATTCTTTTTTGTAAAGAAGAATAGTAAATTCTCGAAGCTAGCCATTAAATTATTATCTACCTACTTACCTCATTAAGTCATTAAGTTTTTTTTTTTGTACTTAATCTTCGTTTGTCTGGTATGATTTATTTTTCGTAGACATGTAACGTAACTTGAAAATAATGACTGTATAAACTTCATCGCAATATAAATAAACAAAAAAAAATATTTATAAACCAAATTAAAATAGGACGTGAATATCTGAAACGAACTTAATACGTGATACGTAAAACTTTAAACATTCTGATTTCTGAGGCAGATTTGACAGGCTTGCTCAGTTATTATCAAAGATTAGAAAGATTTAAATTAACAAAGATGCCTATAAAATGGATACGCGATTACAATGTTAGGTAATTAAATAAATAAATAAAGATATCTACCAAGAATAAAGGCACAGTATCTATATAATAAAGGTACTAATCAAACAGCTACTATGTAAATACTTTTTTGACTAAACTGTGACTAAGAAAGTGTAATTTAACTTTGTGTTACCATTTGACATTTTAAAGAACGTATGAAGTGCATTATTTTAGTTATCAAAATAAGTATTATAGCATATGTCTGTACATAATTATGTATATACGAGTAGGTACATATTTATGGATCTAGACTATCTAGTGAAACATAATAATATTATATATCTATATTTACGGAAGTTCATTGCTTCCTTAGTTACTAAGAGTATAAGAACTCGGTAGTAGGTAACCACAGAAATAGGAAATGCAATATTATCTTTAATGTAATTTTAGATGTTTTGTAAATTATACTACTGTACGTAAATTGTTATCTATTACACACACAGGTTGATATAAGTACGTTACATAGTTACTAAAAATTGTAGATATGTTATAATAACTTACTACCAAGTCTTTGTAGCGTAGCCTTGTATGGTAATAACCAATAATACTAGTCAGACTTGTTTTTAATAGATTTCGTATGACCACATATCGTGATACTTATACATATATTTTAACTAGTGTAGGTAAATAAACTGTATAGGTACATTTACATATGTAGATACATAAATCCTCTTTTGGAAATTCCATAGTCTACAACCAGTATAACTTAGGTTGGTACGTCACATTTACCGATTTACTCATTCTATATAAGTGCTAATAATATTTTAGTTTTCGTCCTTTGTATAAGTTCAAGAATTTTCAGTGTATCATTATGATTTTTGTACTTAACATGAACTTAACATATGTAGTAAAATCGGTACAAACAATATTAGGTAGCAATAACAAAACGTGCCGTCAATGAATCTATTTTTATACCTAGGTACTTCGGTTTATAGATAGGCCCATATTGGTAGATCATAGCATGCACGTTCCTTATTATGACGTCATTTAGATACAGGTTTTAATATTCAAAGGCCGGTTTTTGTTGAACCAACATAAAAAGTAACGCTTCTTTAAACTTCTTCACTCTTGAGTGCAACGTGTATTTAGGCGTTCCTTTAATTTATTTTAAATTGATGATGATGCAAACACTCAATTAACTAATAGTGAACTGAATAACAAGTCTAAATCACTCGCACAGGGAATGTACGATGTAGCACGATTTTAGTTTGCCCACATATTCGGTTAGTACAAGAAAACATGACTACTTATATCGTTATGTATGCAAAATTTCAATAAGTCCAACCAATACACAATTAGCGTAAAGCAACATTCAAATAAACAATCAACCTTACTTGTTTAGGTACACTTCCGTATTTACAATTTGTCCTATTGGACGGACTGTAATGTGTGCTCCCTAACTGCGTAGATAAAATGATAGAACTTATAACGTATTCTGTTTTATAAGACCAGTACCACTAAGAATTAATCTTTCAAAGAATGTATATTTATCTGGTTACCTGCTATAATGGATAGCGACGTAGTGTTGCTATTGTTCTAAAAAATAAAATGTAATTAGGTACATTGTCGCCTTGAACCCGTGGTATGAACGTGCAAACGAACAAGAGAGACGCAATGTATTTTCTATTGTGTCTCATATACCGACAGACGAGAAGTTAAGTTATGAGGCATCTTGGTAATAGGTACCTATAGGTATAATTATTAAGACTCCTAATGTCAATTACCACTAACCTTACCACAAAAATACTCTACTCATGGCTTTACGCTTTTTAAATCCCGTAAAATGATGAGATGGAGAACACTCCAACTTTGCACTTGTAAATCATGGCTAGTAGTAATAAGTCCTTTAGTCCAATGTACTAGGTACACTACTTACACCAAAGAGGATATAACCAGAGAGAGAGTCTATGGACCACAAAATGAGTTTTCACTGCGTAATTAGGTATAATTAAAAATATAGTTTTATGATTTGTTATCATTTGTTAAACTCAGTTATCCGTTACAGTATAAACATATATACTTACTTAATTAAGTTTTTAAAATACTTTATTTGTTATCTTTTTACTTTGGTAACAATGCTAGGTATTTACGGAATACGTGAATTTACGTGCGAATGTTAAAAAAATATTTATAAGTATTGAATATAATTAACATGCGCGAGAATCATTATCTTCATCTTTTTGTATACCAATTATGTGTAGGTATGTGTAACTCAACCTGTATCTACTCTACACACGTTATATTTTTTTGTTTTATAAAAAATACATATTCAAGTTCTCTTGAGGCCGCAAATCCGGTATCAAGCGTCTGGTTTTGGCTCATTAGTAGGATTACATAACTATAATCGAAAAGAAATCAAGTATAATTCACAAAGTGACACCAGATAAAAATGCTTGGCACGTATCACGTACAACACACATTATGATAATTTTAATGATAAATACATACGAACTTTGCAATTACGAAATACCCTGTGTTGATGTACCTAGAGGTTGAATGAATTACATATTTTTTATTTGGTTTGCATACAATAGAATCTGTAATAATATGTTTGAGGTACCTACTTGATGATATTCGATAATCTCGCCAAAGTGGTCACGTAGCGTGACGAGGCGAAAACATTGAAGTACAAATACGAGTGTGTACAATACGTAAATAAACTATGTAAACAGTGTATACATGTTACTATGTAAGGTCACTGGAGTAAACATATAACAAACAACAGAGCGAATTTTAATAAGCATCAATTAAGTTAAATTAGGTACATGTTTAACTGATTACTGTAATGTGTACCTAAGGGAAGCGGTTTTACAAGAATTTCAAGTGTAATTTTCATTTGTTTGTAATTCCTTTAGTTAGTAATAACAAGTAGGTAGGTACCTATTTCATCATGATGGACTCCATTCGATAGGTCATTCCTATCTTATCGGCAAAGTTCTGTTTGTATTGCGATTGTTCTATTATATGTCATTGTCCTAGGTAATATACTAAATGTGGCCACGCGTTTTACTATACATTAATGTTATATCTCATTGACAAAATCGATTCCAAGAATTCATTATGGATAGTTAAATTTAAGGTCTGTGTCTGAGGTGTTTGTATAGATATGACACATTAATTAATTTAATAGTTTAACATACAGTTTATATGTTCCGTTTGCAGATATTGACGATTAATATTGTTCTATTAGTGGTTCTAGGATTAAAATTCATTTAAGGTTCATTTTCTTTGTATGTAGCAACTTACTCGGTCAGGTCACAGGATTTTAATGCAGCTTAATTTTCATACTAATTTTAGGGCAATCAATTTTAACCCACTGATTTCAACTTATTCGTTATCGTTGATTCGTGGATAGATTTTAATTTTAGGTGAATGTAATTATGTTGGCACAGTTAACTTGATTACACTACAGGGCCAGTAAAGGTAAATTAAGTAGGTAACTTAAATGACTACTCACCTGCTACGAAAACTCTGTCAATGTCAAATGAACGTGCACGTTGCAAATTACTGCTTCGACACGTTGCAAATGTTACAAATTACAATATCAAAAGGCCCACTTCAATGGCCTACTTGAACGTTTTTGTGAAATAAAACATTCAAATATATTGTTATACACCATCATTTTGACTTAAAATGATAGTAAAATTTCGCGCTAAAATGCCAGGTGGCACTTATTTCGATAAAAGTACGTCACGGCACGACAATATTTTTCCTACATAGCCACTAAGGATGTCACTGTAGCGACAGTGACTATGAGCAATATAACCACGGCAATCACATCACGGCAAGATTCGACCTCAATAAACCACGCTTAAAAACAAAATGAAAATTATTTTGGTTCCTAATATAGGTAACACTAAACAATTCTTTTTGAAAAAATAAATAATCAATAATCATACATCTGGGCGGACATTATCCAAAATTAAAGGATAATTTAGGAAAATCTCCTGTAGGTAGTAACGACAAGAACAAACAAACTTCTTTTGCATTCAAAATAGTAGTACCTATTAGTTGGGATTGATTTAGTGCTACTAAGGTTCTTGATGACTTGTCTTGGCTGTCTACTAACCACGGCGCACCACCTACCACTTAGTAATAATTCCATACTCACTCAGAATAAATATGTAATTTGTATGTACCTACCCGTAATTATTATGCTGCTGCTATGTATATTTTAATACCTGAGTGATAGATAAAACTCAATCTTATTTGCGTGTATATGAAGGAAAAGATAGCTAAATTGTTTGTACTTTGTACCTTTGTGTAATGTTATAAAAAAAGTGCTTAAGTAAGTAAATGCTGTGACAATTTTAACCGTAGGTAAATACACCTAACTTTTTTGTTCATTTTAAACTAAGTAAAATAAAATGATAAATTTACCTACGAACTGCCTTTGATTAAACATTTTATGACAGTTGAACCTATGATTAATAAACCAGCATCAATAAAATTTACGTAAATTCATTTTCCTCCACTGAGACTCTTTTTGACGGTTACCTTCCTCTTACCTCGTTGATCATTCAACAACAGTATAATTCATATGCTAAATTATTGATAGAGGTTACATACCAACTCATAGACATGTTCTGTAATCAAGGTACAAGGTTTACTGCCAGCTAAACCTGTTTTGGCCATGACCCATAAGACGATAACCCTCTAAATTGAATCTCAATCGAGATATGTCCGAGTTGTTCACGATGTTGCAAATAGCGCAGAATTAAACTAGTAAGTAAATACTAGATAGTTGTTAATCGGTTCGGTAGGTAGGTAGGTAGGTAGGTATTAATAACTTTTTTCCTATTACTCCTTATGTGGTGTTAGCCTAACTGCAGACACCATCATGTATCTAGGAATTATTATTCAAAACTGAATTAGAATTCGTAAAATATTTTCGTGTGTGACTCAAACCAATCTTATATAATGCGTACCTATCTACATTTTATAAACATTTATCTCTATACTTACATGTTTGTGATAAGAAATAGAAGGAAGTGCGGAGTGAGCACAAAATGCGCACTTATCACCACAATTACAATAAAGATTGTTGTCCCTTAATGTCAGAGTACGATGTAAACAACATCAAAATTAAATTAATGTGTCTGAATACTATGACACATTTATTCCACACATGTCTCAAGCCCTGTTAGCAGCGCATTAAGGATATTTTGCAGATATCGCGTTAGTGGCACCAAAATTAGTGGGTTCAGCCTGTTTTTGTAGGCAACATCAATAAAAATAATAATAATGACTAATGAATGATGAATTAATGATAATTAAAAATGATTATCCAAATTACGAATATTTTTTCAAGGCTCATCGATTATTTTTAGAAATATGGCAAATGAATATCGTGGTCCATTTTTCAGTGCATAAATTAGGCACCTTCCTTACTTCATATTATTTATTATCAGTTTATCTGTTGTCCGTCCAAATCCGGGGCAAATGAACGACAGACAGAAAGATATATTTGTGACAGACATCATTACTTTTTGTCCACAGGGCTGCGGGATCCATACAAGTTACAGAGAATTCTTTCATAAACAAATTAAAGTCATCAGGAAGAAGTTTAGTTGTTTTCTATGGATCTCAAACGGGTACTGGTGAGGAGTTTGCTGGTCGTCTTGCCAAGGAGGGCATACGATACAAGATGAAGGGCATGGTTGCGGATCCTGAAGAATGTGATATGGTAAGAAAATATTTCGTCAAGCCAACTGTTTTTCACTCTACACATACTTTGCTAAAATATATAGGTAACCTGCAAGAAATTACAAGCAATTACCAGTTTATTTATTAATTATACATAAAAAGTATTGTATGGTGTTTATAAATATGAACATTTTTTTATTTATTATTATAGGAAGAACTTATGAAACTCCAAGAAATACCGAATTCATTAGCTGTGTTCTGTATGGCAACATATGGTGAAGGAGATCCCACAGACAACTCTATGGAGTTTTATGAATGGATAAAGAACGGAGAACCCGACCTAAGTGGTTTGAATTATGCTGTAAGTACCTACATTTGCTACGTTCTCATGGAAGCATTCATGTCTACCACAGACATATAAAGCAGTAGAGAACTAAGTTTGAATTTCTAGTTGAACATAAATCTATCATTTACTATCCTTATCTTTAAAGCAATAACTTAATAATAGCGTTTCTTTATATTTAATTTCGAAACGCAGACAAAACACTTTAAGCTAAAACTTATTTTCCGGCCCCGCCATATTGATAAACATTTTTACTTACAACATATTATTATAGTTGTTTTAATATACTTATGTTTGGTCTGCTACAGCTTTATATGTCTATGAAACATACAAATAGCTTCCATTAAATTGAAATGTTCTATTTTATTTACATAATTAATACAACTGCGTATAAATTGTGTTTTTCCTTCTACTTATTTTTTTTAAGTGGCAACACAAAATGAGCAAAAAGTGTTGGTGTCATGGTTGGCATGTGTTAAGATAAAAAAAAGTAGTATGACAAAATTGACATTAAAGAATTGAAGTGAATGTCAAAGACATATTTTAGTCTGAAAAATTTCATGAAGTGTTTGTTGTTATTCCTGTATTAAATGCTATTATTGAATTATTCTATTAAGAATATGATAGACTAGTAGATAGCAAAAATTCCTAATGTTGTTTCTGTGATTTAAATAGTGAAATATATTTTTTTGTGTTAACCTAAAATTCTTTAAATATTTTGTTTTTTTATTATACATTATCAGATAATAATGAGTGCAATGGTAGTCAAATAAAAAGTAGTTATTAGCCATATAATGAAACATGATTAAAATAGTAATATAACCAAAATAATTATAAACACGGGTATGAAATAAGCTTAAAAAAATATATATTTCGACATAAAGTTATTATTGCAATTAAAAATCAATTTTACCACTTTAAATCTTTGTAATAAAATTTAAAATATTTCGAGATAGAATTAATAGAATATATAAATATTTCGAGGTCCTCTTATAAAATTAAATATGAACTTTATAATAAAAGTACCTCGCCTTTTTGGATGTCGAAGGTTGTTAGGTCCAACGATGCGGAAGTTACGCTATGTGGTAAAGTATTGAAATAATTTGCAGCCAATTCTTAATGGTGGTTACATCACAATATTAATGTATTAATAAATATTTTCAGGTGTTTGGCCTTGGCAACAAAACATATGAACATTACAATGCAGTTGCTATATATCTAGACAGACGTCTTGAAGAACTTGGCGCTACAAGAGTCTTTGAACTTGGTCTCGGGGATGATGATGCTAAGTATGTATTGAAACATTTCTGTTTTTGTTTATATCTCATGTTTTTCTCCTACATATAATATTACTAAATTCAAATTTATTGTAATGTTAATGTATATTTGCAGCATTGAAGATGACTTTATAACATGGAAGGAAAAGTTCTGGCCAGCAGTATGTGAAAAATTCAATATTGAGAGCACAGGAGAGGAAGAGTTGATTCGTCAGTTCCGTCTTGTAACTCATGGACCTGACGACATACAGCCCAACAACATATTTACTGGTGAAATTGCCAGATTACACTCTTTACAAGTGCAGAGGCCGTATGTATTGAAATATACATTTTTTAATTAAACTAAATAAATTTTGTTTCTAGCACAGCAAAAAACTTTATGTGTTATATATTTTTTTCAGACCGTATGATGCCAAGAATCCATTCCTTGCTCAAATTACAGTCAATAGAGAATTACATAAGGGTGGAGATAGGTCATGTATCCATGTTGAGTTGGATATTTCAGACTCCAAAATGCGCTATGAAGCTGGTAGGTCACATTTGATCATACTAAATTTTTACAAATATATAACTTACTCCCATCGATTGGGCAGTTTTCTAGGTCAAAACTTTTACTTTTCAATACAGTAAAATATTGAAAAATAACTATACTTTTATTCATTGATCGATCAATACACTAAATTTTAGATATTGTTTTAGCTAATTTTTAAGACATAAGTAAGCTATTTGACGCAAAAATTGTATGACATCATAACTCAGTGTTCATACAAATTTCATAGCAAAGTATTGTATTTGACATTTGGATAAAAGTATTAAATTTGACTAGTTGGAAACTACTGTATTAGCTGAGGAAAGCTTTACTTGTCTTGTGACTTTTATTTATGAGATTACTTAATACTAAGTAAAGATGGTAATGCTTTCGGAGCTTCCTCACCTGGAGGAAATATCTGTTATACAACTGACTTATGTATTATACTTTTGGTTTCAGGTGATCATGTGGCTGTGTACCCAATAAACGACTCTAACCTTGTAGAACGCCTAGGACAATTAACTGGGGCTAACCTTGATGAGATATTCTCTCTCATCAACACTGATCAGGAAAGCAGCAAAAAACATCCTTTCCCTTGCCCTACTTCATACCGTACTGCACTTTCACACTATGTTGAGATTACAGCATTGCCCCGTACTCACATATTAAGAGAATTGGTTGAGTACTGTGCAGATGAAGAAGTAAGTGCTGTCATTTCACAAGTTTGAAACCTTAATATTTATTGATTACATGTTAATAACCCTTCACTTGTATTACAGGATAAGAAGAAATTGATGCTCATGGCAACAAATTCGCAAGAAGGCAAGGCCATGTATCAATCATTTGTTGTAGAGGCTTGCAGAAATATTGTACACATCCTGGAAGATGTGCCCTCATGTAAACCTCCACTGGACCACTTGTGTGAACTGTTACCTCGCTTACAACCAAGATACTACTCCATCTCATCCAGTCCTAAGGTACACACTGTTGTTATATGTCTTTTACACAAGTTAAAATTGTTTTTATTGAAAATTAAAATCAATTTAAATGTTCCAGATGTATCCAGAGACTGTGCATATAACTGCAGTAGTTGTTCAATATAAAACACCTACTGGTCGTATCAACAAAGGTGTAACAACAACATGGTTAGCAGATAATAAACCTGAACCTGGCAAGCCTCTTCCTCGTGTACCCGTATTTATCAGAAAGTCACAATTCCGGTAAAATAATCTTATTTTATAATTTTGAATAATATTATGTTGTTACCAATTTTTTTTTATTAACGTTTATGTTTTTGTTGTTCAGATTACCGTTGCAAAGTCAAACCCCCATTATAATGGTCGGCCCTGGTACAGGATTAGCTCCTTTCCGTGGTTTCTTGCAAGAGCGTGCTTTTGCGCGTGCTAATGGCAAGGAAGTTGGAGAAAACGTTCTGTACTTTGGATGCAGACATCGCGACCAGGATTACATTTATCAGGAGGTAAAATTATAAATGTTGTGTATGTATTAAATTATTTAACTATGTGGTCATAAATACAGTTTTGTATAAAAATATTTTGTGTATTTTTACAGGAACTTGAGAAATATGAGCAAAATGGTGATGTCAAATTAAACCTTGCATTCTCTCGTGATCAAAAAGAAAAAGTGTATGTGACACATTTATTAGAAAAAGATATGGATCTCTTATGGGATGTCATCGGTAACCGTAATGGACATTTCTACATTTGCGGGTAATTATTATTTTTCTGTAAAATTGGAAGAAGAAATACATATATGTAATGTGTAACTATATCATCATCAACCTATAAGTGCCCTAAGACTACTGAGCAAAGGCCTCCTCTCACACGGAGAGGGTTTGAGCATCAGTCACCACGCTTGGGCTTGATCAAGGTGGATCAGCCATTTTACTTATAATAGAAATTACAAGTCCAAGTATCCTAATGTTTTGTTTCACTGTAGATCTGTGGTGTCTAAATGTATTTAGCCTTCTCACGCATGAAAAGCGGGCGCTTTAACTTTCGGGCCAACACGACGTACATTGGACGTGGTAGTAAATCATGAACAAAAATTTAAACCAATATTATTTTCAGGGACGCTAAGAATATGGCTGTCGACGTAAGGAATATTGTCCTAAAGACTATCCAACTAAAAGGTGGGCGCACAGAAGCGGAAGCTGCTCAATTTATCAAGAAGCTTGAGTCTATGAAGAAATATTCCGCTGACGTATGGAGTTAAGTTTTCAAACATCCTCTTATAGGCGAATTTGTGAATCCGTAGACAATTTTTCAGTTTAAGTAATGGTGATTATAATATGTAATTAATTAATATTTGTATAAATGGTCCAGCACAATTAATTACTAATTACCATACTGTAAGAACGGCAGCACAAGATAACAAGAATCCAATTATAACTTTTATATTTACAATTTGCTATTGTCTGTGTAAATGTAATTGAATTAGAAACAATATACCTTCACAAAGTGCTCTAGCCAACTGTAATTTATTACTGACTTTGAAATTTCTTTAAATTGACGAAATGTTTATTTTATGACGTCGTATATGAACTAAGGACATCATATTTTTATTATAAAATCAATAAATAGTACAAATGTCTATGTCGATGTATATATCATTTGACATTCACATAGTTCATTTACTTTAAGACAATATTTAAACTTCTATATATATTTTTTAAGAACAAAATAAGTTATTGTACAATTTCATAACTAATAAGGACATTTCTCCATGTTGTGAATGTTTGAATTACAAATATTTAAGATTATTATTAAATAACTGTGACAGAAATATTGATAGGTACTACTTATACATGTTAATTATGCACCTACCAAAATTTCTCATTTTAATTGTTTCGGACAAAATTTCTATTAGATTGTTATAAATTAAAAAAAAATCCTATGAGAAGACGCCTTTCGTTAACGATACCATTGTTTTTATTTTATTATAGTTTATGCACGGAATACATAAATATTCATGACGTAGCATATTGTGATGTGTAGATTTCGACTAAGCTAATGAAGAGTCTGAATTCGTTGTTAATACTGTACAGATAGCATAGGCAAAATTGGAATTGCACAAAGTGTTATGTTCTGTGAGTGGCGGATGAAATAATAAATACAGTACCTACGTCGAAAGATGATAAAATTTATTTTTAAAATGGTAATGGTTCTTTTAAAATATCACTAATTCTAACTGGTGTAAGTCGCAATATTTCAGTCCTTCCGTCCATAATTCCATATTAAAATGCAATAGAGGAAAATAGAAGTTCATTTGGCTATGTTTTATACATAGCACTAACTTTTTTGTATTCTGTACATTCGCTATAATCGAATTCTTTAGTACCTAATATTAGGCGTGATTTGGGAAACCCTATAATTATATAATAAAGTAATGATCGTTAGTATTCCAATTGCTGTAGAAATGTGGATGAAATCCTTACTATATACAAAACAGGTTTAATGTATATAGATTGTGAACAACTTTAAGAGAATATAAATAGGCAATATGAATAGGATATGGAAAACAAAGTCACAAAATGGATTCATAACGGGACGATTTTCCTTTCTACTATTCAAATAATATATTTTGCTATTTATTCTATTACAGACGAATTTGTCACTAATGAAAGTAGGCTAGGTTATTGCAAAATAGAATTCCAAGATATTGTATTTAACGAAAATTATATGTGTATATTAAATGTTTTATTATCAGTTGTGTATTTTCAAATAAATGTTGAATTGTTGAAGTTTTATATATTGTGGAATGGGCAATTAGATATAAGTAAATTAAATAGTTTTTATATTACACATTGTCTTGTAATAAATACAAATTTATAAGACGTAATTCTTTTTTTAAGCAACCTTTTATAATTGTCAAGTGTATCTACCTACAGTTGGAGCTGTGGGTGGCTGCTGCACGTGTCATGGGTTCAATCCTCTTATAAAACAAATGTTGTACTTCAAGATTAACTTCAGGTAGCAAAACAAGGCATAGCATGTACCTACCTATTGTAATTTAGGCTGCAGTTCGACCCAGGTTCGAAGTTAGAGGGGCGGTATCAGAGGAAATGAATCATCTTTAAATTCGAATTTCAACTAATCTGATTCCAATTCTAGCTATACCAAACGGTATAAGGCTAGGTTGTTTTATAGTCGGAATACGATGGTAAGCAATCAGTGACATGATGGCATCCATGGTCCATGGACACAAGCATAGATTAAACACTTAACTGGAACAAGAACCACGAGCGATACATCGCCGACCTGCGAAAAGGATTTAACGTAGGTAGTGGGCACTAAGGGCTCGCCAGCAATCCTATTAGCCTTGTGACGTCATTAGAAGTTATAGGGGGCTATATGTAAGTGGGGAAGGGTAACCGAAGGTCTGCAAATATACTCGAGTGGGATCTCAAATGAAAGCGCACTGAAAATTACCTATAAAATAATGGACATTTCACCACGCCTAAAGGTAAATTGGCGATTTGAAACTTAAAATTTTTAATTCTACGTCCAGAAGCACGCGTTTTAGCTGTGTCTAAGTACCTATTCTAAGAAAGTAGGTTCATTGAGCAGAAAACATTATTTGGAAAACTGCTAGACCAGTTAGAAATAACGCGTTGCGGACGACGATATGAAGTTATTTATAGATTGTTTTGTATCAAACTAAAAAAAAACTGGGTTTAAAAATTTACTCCAAGAGCAAACTGAAAACAAAAGCTAAAAACTATTGAGTATAAAAGGGGAACTATTAACAAAACATATACCCTGACAGGTTAAAAGTTAATAAGTAGCCAGTTACTTGCTATTTTTATTTTTTTGGAAGAACCTATTATACAAGATCACAGATCCGCCGGTATACTACTAACTCACATTGATGCAAAGATTTCATCAATATTTATCCAAGAGAAAAGACAAGATAGAGGTAGTTACTGTAACTGTAGAAGTTCCATTAGCTATCGTCACTCATATTCATCACTCCATATAAATGATAATGATTAAAGACCAAAAACGAGGACAGTGGTGAAGCAGGTAGCTCTCAACTGCCTTTTGGCTTTACCATTAGGCCAAATCCAGACCTTCATCAAATATTACTTACTTACTAATAGACTTATTGCCCCTACAAATTTCGAGAGATCACTTTGATTGTCTTGGGACTGGTATCCTATCATCAGATGATTAAGATGAATCAGAAACTTTGTAGCAATGAGACTAGCTTGAAAGTATACAATAAAAAAAAAGGAAATTACAATACCTATCCATTCAGCAAAAACTAAGATAACACAATGACAAACATCCTTTTTGGGAGTATAACAAAAGTTGATGTGGGAAAATAAAAAACGAAATATTTTTAAAACAATGTATTAAATTAACCGCATTATATTAGTTATATACACAGTGACGTAAACAAAATGCAAACCATCCGTTTTATAATCAGTAAGTACACAAACTGATTACTATCATCGATCATCATAACTAAAGTAAAAGAAGGAAGAAGAGGATTTATCGGATACCGCTTTTAGCGTGGTATACCATTCTAATCTAATCAGAAGACTCGCAGCTGTAAAATGGAGATAAAAGTTATCATACTAAACTTCCCAGAAAAGCTTCAAAACAGTAGAGCCAAAAGTAAATGTGTTAATGTTCAGTAAATATATTATATTTACCATCACATAATAATAAGTTTTGAATATTTTCTTTATATATCTTAATACCTTCTCTTAGAAAGTTCTGCAAATAAACATTAACATATTTTCGATAGGGCTCTATATAAAAATGTACTACATAATACGCATACTCATACACGACATATCACTAGAAACCAACACTATTTCTCAACATATGTATTAAAATACTGGATTCACTACCTACAACAATGAAATATCAAATTGCTTTCACACTAAATCTATTATGTACACTGATAAAACTATATTATATGTCAGGATGATAAATGTGCTCATTATAAGTCAACAATTTCAAAGAATTACCACAAAGCTTCACTAGCTTTTGTCCTCGGTTTAACATGAATGCTAATGCCGATTCATAAGTGCCATCTGAAAGAAAAGAAATTGACGTACTGACAGCAAAGCATATATTTAACAAGCTGTTTAGAAGTTGCAGTGTCTTCAACGTAATGTTGTTCTTCTGAAGGTGACTCTAGTTGTGAAAAGCTGTAATTTTACTAAGTTCACTGCACAATTCTATTCATCTTGTCAAAGAATTGGACAAAAATTACCATGTTAACTCAAACCCTCAAACCAGTAATCGGGCACACAATATTGTACTTTTTACACATATTTTATACATAGCATTAACTGTACATAACTATACATTTTCAGTCTTCCGCAAATAGTAAATAATTGGAGGTGGATTTACCATTTTATGAAATATTCATAAAATACTATTTTGTCACAACCAATTAAATATTTAAATGAGTCAATTAGGACAATAAATACAATACTTGTGACAAATAATATTTCATGTAAGTACATTATTGAAAGTATTAGCTGCAGAAATTTAAAGGCACATTTATTTGGCATATAGCCGAAATCATTATTGAAATGATTTATACCAAGCTTCATTAATGAATGCTGCTACATTTGCACAAGGCAAAATAAAAGATCTTCAATTATAATGAGCATCCTGAACTTTTATCAACAACTTCACTATTTCATATTTAAAAATATAGAATGAGTTACCCTTCAAAGGTACATATGAATGTGCTAAATGTTAAATCTACGAAACGCTTGTAGCACATACCCTACGATTTCTATAATGTTTTTATAAGCATAATGTATTTTATATGTTCCTATTGTGGGAGTTTAGTTAGCCAAATAGTTTATTCAAAGATCAGTGATTATATGAATCATCCTAGGCTGTTTAGAAATTACAGTAGTAGGAAAACAAGAACGCGTCAATAACGTACCTATTATTAAAACTTATACATAATTAAGAACTGAAATAAGAAGTAGAAGGGAAACATTTATTAATTTATAAGCTATGTGTCACAAGTCATATAAATAAAACGTGAGACTACAGCAAAAAACTCACAATGAGAGACCTAGCTCCTTTCTAAATAGTAGCCAGTAGTGATTGAGTCTCAAATGTAAAAATTATATACATTGTGTCAAATAAAATGCAATACCATAAAACTAATCATCGTCATTACAGTATTTAACACGTAAGTAGTGTAGCCGCACGGGGCGGCGTGTACTGCCTTCAGTGCGCCGCGCTCACGAATCTGGAGGAATATCCCATTCCGCCAAACCACGGTCCACTAATTCTCTATTCAGGAATATTACTTGCTGGAATAATAAATATTTTGTATATATTGAATATGATGTTTAAAGTTTTATCTATACTATTGTATGGTAAAATTAAATAAACACTAGAAATAATTGCTTACCTGAGGATGAAGAGTGAGGTAGAGATGTACGAGAGGGAGACCAGCCTCATCATAGCCGGCAACTTGTGCATGTAATAACTGCCCTGCTGTCAGTCCAGCCATGATCCGAAGGGCCTCGCCACTCCACTCTTGTTCTAAAATAGTTTCATGATATGCATGTATATCTATTTCTTTTTATCTATTTATTCTATATGTATAGCAAGTATGGTTTTTAAAATATTTGAATAATAGTTATATGTAAAAGTGTAAAAAGTTCAAGATGTTTTCACTTAATCAATCTTACCATTGTTAATGGTCTCTTATTTAAGACCTCAAGTTTCTAATGCAAGCAGTGTGTGGAATTGAAATATTATACTACTATGAGCAAATTAATGAATAAGTGTTACAAAATATAGCAATTTTAAAATAAGACATATTTGTATTATTGCTTTAACAGTATAAAAATGCACTTAAAAAATGAACTTACCATTGTTAGCTGGTTTCACAAAAGCAAGTAAGGCTTCTGTTGCTTGGAAAGGTAATGTCATAAAATCTGAGCGGATCTGTTTAAGCTGGTCATTGTCCACAGTCAGATAACCGCCGAAGTCAACCAATTTCACGACTGACGTGTCAGTCTCCTCCGATGTTGATATCACTTGTGCGCGATACCAGTTATTTTCAGTTGGTGCAGCACAGATTGAACCCTCTGAAATTAAATATTAATTTTATAATATATAAATAATATTTTTTGGTATATTTGTTCTTTGGTTCAACTTTCTATAAACCTTTTACTAATGTTTTGAGCGCCATTGCACATATACGTATAGCGGTTTACAGAAACAAATAGCATCATAGACATTGAGAAATTGTACATTAAAAATAAGAAATCATTTTGTTTTTAATAATGTTCTCAACCCGAATTATCAGTGCCTTATATGCCATGGTTACAAATGGACGACAACATTGAAACGTCACAAGCGCAGGCGTGTCCGTTACCCAGGCCAGATGTTGTAGACAATGGTCATTTGAATCTTATAGATAATTAGTTGTGCGGCTTCTGTAATTGTTGCGCACATTTTTAAATTTGTTGCGCTTATAGTTTTTTAATTATTTCACAAAAACATTTCCTGCTGGCGTAACGTTACCACAGCCAGACCTTTTTATTTCTAATGGGAATATTTAAATAAATATTAGCTATAAAATTAGTTGTCTAGATAAAGTAAATGTTGTGCCTTATTTTGTATTTGTTCTTTCTTCGGTTGCGAAGTTATTCGAGATTTTGCTGCGGTAACGTTTTTGGTTTTGCTAGATCTTTGAAATGGTTAAGCGGATTCTTATCATATTTTGTACACGACTTCCGAGGACTTAGTTTAAATTTGTTGTGCAATAACAAAACCAAAATAATGCATATTTTAAAGGTTTTTTCATTAAATAGAAAAACACTTCAAATGGCCCCAGC